ATTCTTAAAAAGTACTTTAAACTGTATAAATACAATTGAAAGCGATTGACCAATCAGAAGAAAGTTATCCTATATTCACTATACGGACTTGCCAAGTTACTTAATCTTATTTTTACATCTTTAATAACGATATTAATGACTACGTACTCGATATCTAAAAGCAACAGGGAGATACGTATTATAACTAGCAAAGCCATGAAGTAAACTAGTATTATTTTGCTAGTCCAAACCATTATTTGCATTACGTACACCTTTTTAATTGATAAGATTAAATTTTTTCTTTTTAGAGTATAAAAGAAGCCGAATGACGCTTCAAATATTTATGATATGATGTCATTATTATAACCAATATAACAGTGCATACGAAATTCAATACAGAATTCAATCTTCTTGAATCATATTTTTTCAAAAATGGCGAGAGTCTTCGTCTTGGTGAACCGTATCTATACTAATAGTTATCAAAGACATCCTATTCTTACATCAGCTTGCGCAAATGCATTCCTCGCTTCAATATCTGATACGTTGGCTCAATGTATTACATTAGCAAACAAAAACAAGTATCAAGAGCCCATTTCTGCTGAGTCATCAGTTACCGCAAAATCTGTACAAAAGGTTCATGAAACATCAGTGAATAATGGAGGCCTTAATTATATTCGCACTTTAAGATTTTCATCTTATGGATTTTTAATTGCTCCAGTTGTTCATACTTGGTTTTCTTTTTTGGACAATAGATTTCCATTGCCTCAAGTAAAAATTAGTAAGAATCTGATGGCTGCACAAATGAGTACCGTAATCAAAAGAGTCACGGTAGATCAAATTGCATTTGCACCTTTTGGGTTGTTTTTATTTTTTAGCATCATTGGTGTACTTGAAGGTCATGATATAAATGGTATTAAACAAAAATTACATGAGGTAATTAATTTTTATTACTATTACTATCGTTGCTCACCAAAGATTGTAATACTAATATGTTTATTTCGTAAAATCTCCAGGCCTATATTCCTGCTTTAAAAGCAAATTATGCAATTTGGCCATTTGTTCAATTCATTAATTTCAGATTTCTTCCTTTAAGATATCGGCTACCTTTTGTTAGTTCTATCGGTATTATATGGACATGTTATCTTAGTTTATTGAATAGTGTAACAAATTAAAAATGTCGGTATTATTGTAAAGCCCTACGAAAAGTAATGGCGGTAAACTTGTTTTTTAAAAAAATATTTTTTAAAAAAAATTATCTAGCATATTTTAATTAAATTTTTAGATTACTTAGTAAAAAATTGAGTTTATTTTATTATAAGGCCATACAAACTTAATAAATTGGTTCTCATAACCCGGCCGGGTCAAAATTTGTAGACCCTTGAAGAAAAATTT